TCTCAGGTTTGGGGTTAGAAATGGCCAGTGTTACTCAATTTACACAAGCGTTAGACATGACGTTCATGTGACTTTAGTGGCTAAACTGCATGTTCCAGAACAGTGGTTTTCAACCTGTGGGTCGTGACCACTTTGGTGGTTGAACGACCCTTTCTCAGGGGTTGCCCGATTCATAACAGTAGCAAAATCAGTTGTGAAGCAGCAACAAAAATAATTTTATGGTTGGGGGGTGACCACTACAGGAGGAACTGTCTGAAAGGGTCATGGCACTGGGGAGGTTGAGCAGCACTGTTCTAGAACCTCATAACAGTCTTTTCACGACCCCACCTATATTTAGAAAGCTAATCATCTGACATATTTTGTCCCTTGTAGCTCCCTTTGTAAAGGTCAACTCTTGCAATAGCTGATTCTGCCATTTGCAACTTTTGACTGTTAGTCATTGATACCCCAATTGCATACCTTGTGGTTTTTTTTTGTCGTTATTCACTTAATTTTGCAGCTCCTTGGAGCAGTTGGTCAAGAACTTCTCGACTGCTTCCTGTTTTTTAAAACACTTTTACTTCGTTTACCCTTTGAACAGACCTGTTAATTACTTCTCTGCAATCTTCATGGAGATCAGTGTTTCCCAAAGTTGGCGATACCACCCTGGGGAGTGATGGAACCATCTAGGAGGGGCTGCAAAAGCCAGATACACTTTATCCTACATTATAGTAAAAGTTTTTAGTGGCTAGGGAGGCACTATTTTTCTGAAAAGCATGTTAGACCATGGGTTTCCAAACTATTTGGCTTACTACCCCCTTTTAGGAAAAAAAAAACCCCAAACTCACTCCTGCCCCCAGGCCTTTAAAAGCTTTGTTTACTGTAGCCCACCATCCAGAATAAAGTGTAGGTATCTGCTTTAGCTGTCCTTCTTGGAGCAATACCCACTTTGGGAGACACTGATGTGGATGATACTGTTCTCAGGTCTTTGATCCATTCAGCTTTATGATCTTCATTCTGCTTCAGCCACCCAATCCCACAGGATCCTCGTCTTTTCAATAGCTGTCCCTTCATTACTGACATTAAATGCCAATAACTGTGTCCCCTGCAATATCATGTCCTTCTGTCCCCACCTCGTAGTTCTTGCAGTCCCTTCACTACGCAAACCCCATACATCCCGTCTGCAGTGAGCTCCAGCACCACCACCCACCACTTTTCCGCGTGCATTACCTGTCCTTTTTTGTTTTCACATCTGGATTGATTTTGATTCATCCCATAGCTCACTCTTCACCACTCCCTTACCCGTACAATCTCAGCCTTCTTGAATGACAGAATCCCAGTTTTGGTTCTTTGCCTATTGTCCATTTCCTGTCTACTCCTTACTTGTATCAGGTGGGAAAAAAACCTCTTGGCTGTACCTTCTCTGTTCCAATTGAGGGCTTCCCCCTGCCATTATTCACCCTTTTCTGTCATTAAGCTATTTCTATAGATAGATACTCACATGCTTGCAAACACCAAAACACAGCTCATTGATTCCAACTGTTAAACCAACACCCCCCCCCCCCCCCCCCCCCCCCACTAGGATAGGATAGAAGTGCCTCTGTGGGTTTCTGAGACTGGAATTCTTTGCAAGAGGAGAAAACCTTTTCTCATAGGGGTGGCTGTGGTTTTTGAACTGTTGACCTTGTGGTTAGCAGCTCAAATGTATACACACTACCTCATCAAGGCTCCTTTCCAACTCCTGACGACCCTACTTATGGTTTGAGATGAACTCTTTAGTCTGGAGGAGACATCCTTACCCTATTCCGTAAGAGTGCATGTGAAGTTTGAACTACCAATCTTGCAGTTAGCAGACTAAGGCTTAGGACACCTCCATAGTACTGCAAACATGCAGAGTTCATCTTAAAAAGTGATTCTCCTAGAGTTCTAGCTATTACTTCTCACCCTGAAATCATGGTCTATACATTCGTGTATCCATGTCCTTTGCTTCCATTCTCTTAAACTTGAGTTTTTCAATCTGTTATGTGACCCCCCCCCCCTTGATTTGCAATTCTACCATACGTTTCTTTAAAATTTTCTCCCATGTTTTATATGCCATTTTCTATCCACATAGCTGGTTAAAAAGATCATTTACCAATTAAACAAATCTCAACTCATGGTTAGCTCTCTTCCACTAAGAATTAAGATACTTATGGACAAATACAAGTATCTAGTTTTCTTAATCCATGTTTTCCATTAAATTTGGCATTTCTAGTAAAATAATTACAATTTAATTGGCATTTTTAAATATGGTGGCACAAGCTCTATAGCAAGGCTTTTACAATATGCCACATTCATGTGCATTTGGTTTATAGGTTTTATTTTGTTCCAGCAATTTATGTGCCAATTACGGCCTTCTTTTTAAAAGGCACTTCTGGCTATTCTTGTATATTTGCTTTTTAATTTGAACCTTAAGAGTTGGCCTATCTGTTTTTATTGGCATTTTGCTAAATTTATACAGGGAGATTTGAAATCTTATGGCAAGATATGTAAGAATAGTAAGCACTTCGTTGTTTTTTTTGGCATAAGTTTTTATATTCCTAATTTTAAAATGTTTCTGGTGTAGCTATTTTTCTGATTGTTACTGGCTATTTTGTCTCACCCCACCCCGCACGAAGAAAAATATCTTCCATTATGTTTTTTTAACAGTTTACATGCAGGCAGACTGGCTACTTTCTGACTTGTCGGTTAATCTGTGTATAATTAACTTGGGTAAATTCTTTCTGTAGCCAAACCTTTCAATTGCTTCTCCTAAAATTTTCCAGTGTAAAGCCATCTAGTTTGTACTTTCTCCTCCTCTACAATTTTATTGCTTCCTTTTGTTGTCTAAATGTCTTTTGTGTTTCAATTATTTTCTCTGTATTATTTGTTCTACCACCCTAACCTTTAACTAAAACAAAACATTAAATGACACTGATAAGAGGATACAGAAATGCATAGGATGTTAAAATATTTTCCCCTTTATCAGCAAAAGGTCAAAAAACCAGTTTTCTGCAAAATTTTTGTAAAAAATTTTGTAAAAGATGTTTGTAAAAGAGGTAGACAAGACAGAACAGTCATATGAAAGAGTGAAAGGCATTTTCCAACTTCTGGTTTCTCTCCTCTGGTATATTAGTAATGACTTAAAGTTGCTATACAGTTATGAGGAATGTGTATATTGCATACCACAACGTTTTATTAATGTAATTGTAAGGCTAATTAAACTAATTTTATTTAAAGTAAATCTACATTAAATTACAATATTAACAATCTCTAGACACAATGACCGTAAAATATAAGTAGAAATCTATTTGGTCTTTTATAGACCACATATAATATAGATCACAAATGAAAATTTACAAATATAGAAATGATACTTAAAGAGTGAGGATTTTAATATGGAAACCCATAAGATGTCATACTTTAAGCACGCATGTTTCAAAAAGGGAGACTTTTAATAATTTTGCACAAAATCAAATTATATAAACTTGGTATATTCCAGAAAATATTGCTTTTAACACTTATACCATGATCAAAATTCCTTTGGTAGTTTTTAATCAAAATGAAACATGCTATTATGTAAAGTATAAAGAAATATTTTTAAAATGTTATCACAAAAGTATCTTTTTCATAGTTACCATACTAACATCACTACAGAACTTTCATTTATTTTGCTGTTCAATCTCATATATATACAACACGAAACCAGATACCAACAGAATTCTCTTAATCTTTCAACAAAATACCCTCTGCGCTTCACAATATCAAGACTTTAAAGTCTCCTAAAAAACCCTTTACAGTGGTATAGCACAGAGAACAATTACTGTCCCTGTGTTTACTGTAAAAAGAAAACCAACTTTATTATAGCAATAATACAAATACTGCAATTAAAAAAAAAAAATCAAACAGCAGTTGCCCTAATGCAAAAAACAGGGCCTGCTAGACTCAATCTCAGAAGAGTAAACACGAACACACTAACCCCCAAAATTCTTAAACAGAAAATTCACAAATAACTTGGCTAAAATAAAGATGCTGATGTTACACTATATTAAACACATCAGATATACAACATCCTCTTGGCACATCAGAGATCTCACTGACAAACCTGATTTATAAAAAAATCAGTTATCAAAGTTTAAAACTATTTGAAAATAGAGGAAACAAACAGATGTCAGTATTTAGGTTGCATAATTGATCAGCCAGTTTTGAAAACTGTTTCTTCCTATGTTCATCAATTAAGGATTCTTGTTTTCAATCAAACTAAGGTTTCTTGACTCAGAAAAACCTAAATAATTTTTGTAGCTAGAGAATGCAGCATATAGGGTCTTTTTAATTGTGCATTCATGATCACACACACACAAAACAAACCAAACCTTCAGGCTTTTGCCACAAGAATAAGACCTTATAAAAGAACTTTTCACCAATATCTTCTTGTTCAGTCTCAAAATTACTCTGCAAAGCAATTGAAACAATTTAAATGCCTAAAAGAACAAGATGAATGCGGGGTAGGGGGGTGGGGAAGATCCATATGCCATTTGAAAATCCTTAAGTCTTATGTAGGATGTTCTAAGAATCATTTCCTTTCCTTCTAATCCACAAGGATCTTAGCTGGTCCAATCACTGAGAGACCTGGAGACAGCACAGATGTGTTTCATTCCTCTGAAGATACATTCTAGTGTTCTGCTAAAAGAAGACAGTCTGATGATTCCATTATGCCACGTAGTGGTACTGATTTGGATTATCTTTATCTCTCTCCATATAGTCTCTGTCTATGAGAGATTCAATTCGCTTTTTCAAATCTCCAGGCTACAAAAGAAAAAGAAAAATTCCAATTACAGTGATATTAAAATTACAAACACACAATACATCAAGGACAAATATTTAAAAAATTACAAATTGAATAAACTAAAACCTCCAGCTTCAAAGACAAGAGATTAATATCACGCCTGGATAAAAAATGCTTCCACAGGAATGCAACATTTCTTGTAGGAATTCCAAAAAGTTTGCAGCAAAACTCTTATTATATTTTAAATCCAGTTTCCACAAGCTTCTTGAAGCCCCAATTGTATATATACATGAGTACCTAAGCATGGTAGATTATAAAATATTTGTTTAAAAGGGATATCTGATAAAGTCTTATTGAAGTATTTTCAGCTTTTGCAACATTTCTAAGTACATTTTATTATTATATAAAAACAAGTTTCTGTATGTGACACACACAACTACATGAAGAGTACTTTTATAGAAATCATAGCAAGCTGTATTAAACAGAAATACCCAAATGGGAAACTACTGTTTCTCAACAGGGCCTCCCCATTGAGGTCTACCCACTTCTGAAGGCTGTGTTTCCATCTCTCTAACTTCCCCCAAGAATTTTGTGTTCTTCCGATTTGTACCATGACAAGATGGTAATTTTAGCATTCTCAAAGGACTACAATCATGTTCTTTGAGTCGGGGGAACAAAAAGTGTAAAGGGACAAAACCAAGACTGTAGGGTGGGTGGGGTAAGGTTTTCTATTAAAATTCCCTTAGGATAATAAGTCCTTACAGAATGAAGAGGTGGCTTTCATCATGCAAACAATCACACGGCACGACACGCAGGTCTTTCCCAACCACTGCAGTTTTCACTTTCCTTAAAGTGTCTTCCTCTTAGTCTCCCGTAATGGTCCTAACCTTCTCAGGTCACCTTTCTGCCTCAAATTCAGCCTGCCTAGGTCGGCAGCTTCCCTCCTGAGCCAGAGTTTTTATTGGACATCACTCCCAAGCCACCTTTTTTAAACGGCACTCAGACTGCAAGAGGCGTGTTACTGAGGGTTTCTCTGTACCCACCCACTGATTGCAGAGACATGCTGAAATAGCTTTTGGATGGAATAAACCATGCAAGCATGAACTAGAACCCCAGTGGCAATATGTTTTGACTGATCTGTGTGTGCTTATGTGTGCACACATATAATTTATACTTTTTTCCAAATAGCAAAACTCCTATTCTGTGAGAGATCATGTATTTTACAAGAACAAAAAAATTAAAAACCAAACCAAACTCACTGTCATGGAGTCTATTCCAACTTACAGTGATACTCTAGGACAGGGTAAAACTGGGCCTTAAATAGACTTGTTCAGTAACCATTTAAGTGCTTCAATTGCTTGGTGTCTTCATTTGTAAAGTGGAAAAACATTTGTGGCTTGTGGTGGGAAATATAAGAATAATGTCCATTATAATGTCTTATAAACTGTACAAATACTAAAAAACCAAGTTCACTGCCATCGAGTTGATTCTGATTCACAGTGACCCTACAAGGCAGGGCAGAGCTGCCCCTGTTGGTTTCTGAGACTGTAACTCTTTACAGAAGTAGAAAGCCTCATCTTTTTCCCAGATAGAGGCTGGCGGTTTCTTTGTTGTAGTTACCAACTGTGGTAGTTACATAATCTGTTGTCAATGTGAGACTTAAGAGTGAAGGGGTGAAAAAAAAAAAAGTGAAGGGGTGGAGTTTAGCCTGTTAGTCAGGTCGCAGTTTGATGACCTCATTTGGAGCTATATAGCTTGCTGGAGGCAGGGCACCTGATCACTTCCTGCGTGACATTATGCTAGTCTGATGGAGCTACACTGATGTAGCCAGAGCTCTGGGAGCTGGAGGAGCCACACAGAGACCTATACCAGTGCTGAAATGCTTCTACCACCATTGGATCCACAAGACTTTCCATCCACTGACCTGTGATCTTCCTGCATTTGGCATTATTGAATGGCTGCATGAGTCTAAAGAGTAATTTATGGACTAGTATTAGATATATGGGCTAATATGGACTTGATGTGGACTGGGATATACAATTACTCTTTGTATAAAACTCTCTCTTATACACACATACATGTCTATGAATTTGTTTCTCTAGTCAACCCAGACTAACACAGCAACCTAACGTATATGTAATATCACTAGGTATATATAAATCGCATTTGGAGGCTATAAAAACCAATTATTTGCTAATGTAAGAGGATACTTTCATAAATCCTTTAAATTTTAGACTAAAGGTGTCCCATCCTAAAAAGGAGACCTGGTAGCGCAGTGGTTAAACTCGCAGCTACTAACCAAAAGGTTGGCTTGAACCAAAACACTGCTAGTAGAACACAGATGTAGCAGTCTGCTTTCATACAAATTACAGCCTAGAAAACCCCGTGGGGCAGTTCGACCCTGCCCTTCAAGGATTCTACAAGTCATTATCAACCTGATGACTAAAAAGAAGTCCATCTTGACTTTTTTGTATTGGTGAAGGAATAAATAGATCTATTGCTGTTGAAATTTACAATACTAAATCACAGACACTATTCTTAAAGTCTATGTAACCAAGTCAATAACAGAAAGGCCAAGACGCAGGATAGTTCAATTACTCCTTATATTGGTAAATATATTTTAAAAAGTTTTCCCCAGGATTTCCCTAACTTTTCCTGTATTCCATGTAATCAGGACAGTAAATCAGTCTTAGAAATGGAGTTTGGCTTGAATGACTTTAGGGTATTCTTTCATAAGCAATGGCAGTGGTGATACATTATGAAGGTAGAAAATGCTTTATAGTTAATAAAATGCTGAATAAATTAGTTATTATGATTTCTTTATAATCCTGTGTTACAACCTCTTCTTCCACTCCTGAAAATATAAGCATATACCTATACCCTGAAGTGGGAGTTCTGGTGTCTATCATTTCATAGCTATTACATTGGTGATAATTTGAAAACAACAAAAAAAATTATCAGCAGCCTTCTAAATTTTTCTATACTTAGTATTTTCACAAAATTACATTTCTGTGACAAATGCGTACTTACAATGCAAGACACATGACATTGGAACAGGCTTTGTCCACTGTGTATCACTATACTACAAACTTAAACACTGCAGTTACCTTCACTGGGAACTTTAACTGGTTATATAATTCCGAGACCAGGAGGTTGTGACTCAGAGTCTTTCTCATCTTCATGATCCGAACGATGGCAGCATCAATTTGGTACTGTCTGTCTTGAAACACTCTTTCCGTGGTGCTAACTTGTTCCTCAACCTGGGCAGAATGGAAAGGAAAAAGAACCAAGTGTAAAGATGTATTTCCAGTATCATTTATCTCATCTTATTGAGCTTTAAGGGAAACTTTCTTTTGATGCAAAATGGTGAATTCTGGTGGATGAATACTGCTTAGCTATTTTCACCTGTTTAGTAATTCAGTTCTCCTCACACAGCAAAACTCCACCCAAACTTGAACACCAATATCTTAATCACTTTACTGGGGGCTCATACAACTCTTATCACAATGCATACACACATCAATTGTGTAAAGCACATTTGTACATTCATTGCCCTCATCATTCTCAAAACATTTGCTCTCCACTGAAGCCCCTGGCATCAGCTCATTTTTCCTCTCCTTCCCTTCCTCACGGACCCTTGATAATTTAGAAATTATTTTGTCATATCTTGCCCTGTCTGATGTCTCCCTTCACCGACTTTTCTGTTGTCCGTCCCCCAGGGAGGAGGGTATATGTAGATCCTTGTAATCGTTTCCCCCTTTCCAACCCACTCTCCCTGTACCCTCCCGGTATCGCCACTGCTATCTATCTTTGTGACAGACTAAAAGCTCCTCTAAGATGGGAGCTTGTGCTTTATTTTTAATGGCTGAAGACTTAGAATTTTGAGGGGGGCCTTGACTCAAAATAGATATTCAATAACTATTTGTTAAATGAAATTTTATAACTTGCCAGGAGTGACTATTTAATAAGAAATGTGCTTGTGGTAATGACTACAACACTGCTTGATATGACTGACCTATGGAATTGTCTGATGTCTGGATGAGGTCCTAATAAAATGGTTTGAAAGAAAAAAATATATAAGGTGTGTGGGAAGAAAAGTACAATTTGAGGAAGATAGAAGAAGATATAGCTAAGTATAGATATATGAGGGGTACACCAAAAAACCGGAACATTATTTTAAAGCAATGTATTTAAATTAATTTTTTTAAATAAAAAAACCGTATCACCTACAAAGTAGTTTCTATTACATTTAATACATTTGTCAAATCTGGGATTCCATTCTTGGAAACATTTTTTAAACTTATCCATTTGGATGGCTGACAGCACCTCCCTCATTTTTTTCCAACTCTTCTACAAGTCAAATAAATTGCTGTCCTGTCATGTCCCTCTCCATTCACAGAAGCAAAAAGAAGCTGCATGGATTGAGGTCAGGTGAGTAAGGTACATGGAACAAGAAAGGTATGCTGTTTGTTTTTTTTTGCCAAAAACTGGTACACTCAGAAGGCTGCATGAGCAGGGCAATGTCTTGGTGGCAACACCAGTTCTCTGTATGTCACAAATCAGGTCTTTTTTGTCACACCTGGTTACACAATTTTTTCAGAATCACTAAATAGAAAGCTTGATTAATAGTCTGACATGATAGAACGAACTCCAAATGAACTACAAGTCAACATTTTTGTACATTTGGAAGTTGACGTATGTCCAGAGGAGGTTTGTCACCAATCGACATTTAGATTTTTGAATGATTTTTTTGAATTTTTTTAAATGAGAAAACCACTTGTTTCCCACAGTGCTGTCCTTGTAAACTGTGTTCACTATCACAACAGCTTCTGCAGCATTTTTTCCGAGCAGGAAACACAATTTCACAGTCACACGCTGTTCTCTTAAATCAGCCATCACAAATAAACGGGGTTTGAGGGAAACTGCTTTCATGAAAAATATTCACTGTGACCGGAGAGAACCTTCCCAGGCGATGTCACTGGTGAATTAACTCAGAGCAAGTTGCTGTGTATTAAGAAAGATCCGCCCAGCGGAGTTTTTCCTGTTTTGTTTTTTTGGGGGGTTCCACCTTGTATATATTTATGTAATGAAATCAGAAGATATATATAGATTTAAGATGAAAATTGCAAGTTAATTCAACAAGGGCAATGAGGCCCCCATGCTAAATAAAAATACATCATTTTATAGGGGGCTCTAACAGAGTGATTTCATATTTTAAAAAGGTTATATTGTGTATATGCTACAGAAAAAGAAAACACCAACAAAAGCAGCGTGGTTATCTTTGAGGGGAGGAGACAACTGTTTCCTCTTTTGAATAACTTTAACATTCTATACCTTTTAATCACTCTACTTTAAATTCCTAACAGTAAACTAGTAGTATCAGAGGAGGTGTACATTAAAATATTAAGTGATGTCCAACTACCCACTAAAAATTTTGTATTAATCAAAATTTCTTTTTAAGAAGAAAAAAATGCCTATTTTCCCATATATGTTCTAGTCTTGGATATAATAAAATATTTTAAACTTTCCCAAATTGATATAAAAAATTGAATATCTGTTTTAATGAATATTTTAAAAATTCACCAGAGTAAACCTTTTCTTAAAAAAAAAATAAAATTTTGCTGGGGGCTCTTACAGCTCTTAACATTCCAGACATCAATTTTATCAAGCATGTTGTACATTTCCTAAACATTTACTTTCTATTTGAGCCATTGGTATCAGCTTTTTTCCTTCCCTCCTCCCCATCCCACCAGAGTGAACCTATTTTATATATTTATCTTAAACTTTTATTTTTATTTCTGTATTGGACATACTATTTGATTAGGTACATTTTAAGACTTCTAGCAAAAGTGAAGCAACCACTGTCTAGTATTGGAGCAAGTGTCTATGATATGATCGCACTCCTTCTTAAAACCACCACTCACTCCAGTTGCGATTTGGTATGACATGTACAAGACGGGCCAACCATAACCTTTTTATATATTGTGAATATTGGAGGTGCATCTAGGTCTTTGTACATGACAGTAGCCTTGGAGTGTATGGAGTTTTCTGCATTGAAGACCTACTGATTCATAACCTATGTTTGGATCAGTGATTTTTTTTTGAGTCTGATCAAAATTATAGACACTTTATTTGTATACATAGTATTATATATACAATTTCCGTGGGCCCACTGACTCATTTTCCCAGCTAGAAATCCTTACAAGTTCTATCCCAGAACCTCCGCTGTTTGAGGCTGAGGCTCATAGAATAGCTAAAATGTACTGTGCAAAATAAAAAGACAAGTGATTGGGTTTTGGAAAGTACATGATCATTCCACTCTATCAGAATTAGATATAGAAATTTAGTGAAAGCTACACTAAAATATACTATGTATTCAAATAAGGATGCTAGCAATATGCTTTAGACCTTTAGTAAGAAACTAATACAAACCATTGGTGAATGCTCTCATTGCAATCATAATAGAAAGGCCCAGGCAGAGTGTGAGAAAAATGTGGGACAAAATCCAAAATCATAAAAAAAGACCATATTGGGGTTTAGTAGACACTGGTAGAATCCCCCGAGACTATGGCTCTTAAGATACTGTTCAAGCCTGGAACTAAACCTACCCCTAACAACCTTTCATTCAAATCCATATGTGAGGAATTACTCCTCAGAACAAGCAACTATACAGGCCCAAAGGACAGAATATGCCCCCCCAAAGCAAGCCCAGAAAGCAGAGGGGGGTAGGAAAGAAGGACAAACAGAAATTAGGTTCCCAGAGAGAAAGTGGGAAAAGGGTTGTTAATGTCACAAAACCAAATGTGTTTTAAGTGATTTTTTCTAGAAAACTAAATCTGTTTGATAAGCATTCATCTAAACCACACTCAATGAGTTGGATTCAGGGGAAAAATAAGGTACTATAAAAAACTCATGCTTCTTTGGTAAATACCCTATTAATACAAAGACAAAATTATACATACGGTTTCTTTCATCTGAATTTGATTGATCTTTATTCTAAACAACTTGTGCTTGAAGTCTCCATTAAAAATGAATTTGTCTCCATCTTCTACATCCTTTCCTTTTGGACTTTTGATCAGTACACGTGCTTTACCACATGCCAGAGACTGTAATGTTCTTCGCAATTCACTATCCTCTGAAGGTGGGAGGAGAAATTGCAAGTAAATGCTGGCATTAAAAAGTACTTAGCAACAACAAAGTCATGACATAAAATGTGACATAGAAATATGGTCTCTAAAAAAAAAAAAAAGAAATATAGTCTATTTTTTAAAGTGAATAAATATTTTAAAATATTCACTCCTGAAAACAGTAATTTCAAGAGATTTTTCATACCTATACCAGTAGCCATTTTAATGTCTTCAAAACGGAATTCATCCCCTTCGTTGAACATGAGAAGTACTAACGTCTGAAAGAGGGAGACCTGGAACTCCTTTTTCCCCTAAAACAAGCAAGTGCATCAAACAACCGTTACGTTTCAAGTTGCGGTTATACAACCTTTGAAAAATTAGAAGAGGCCTCTGTTTTCAATCTTTCTGAGGGGATTAAAAAGTTATTAATAGCCACCAAATAAGAAAAAAACTAAGATATTTATTATAAAAACACACACTTATTAAATACTTTTGTTTTTATAGTAAAAGCACTGAACATGAAAGGAACTACCATTATTTGTTGCCAGATAAATGTCTAGAGTGCCTTAAGTTTAAAAGAAATCCTATCTTAGCTGATAAGACTATGACAAGGCAGTGATAAAATATGTAAGAAAGGTAAAGGTAGTAAAACAAAGCAAAATCCAAACCAACAATTTTATTAAATAAATAGTAAATATATAAATAGTAAAATCCGTCCAGCTTTCCTTTCCATTTTTCCTGTAATATATAAGATTAATGTAAGTTTAGCCTTTATTTATTGAGAAAGCCCTCATTGTAGAGATTCATCATTTAAATTAGAACATATACTTGAGAAATGCTAACTAGTTTTGTTTTCTGGTGTCCTAACTTCTTCCTAAAAAGAAAGTGACTGTATAAAGAAATGGAGTATTGGGATAAGGCAGCAGAATACGGTACTTCCTCCACAGTCAGTCCTAATCACGAGTCCCATGTCCCAGAGAGCTGTGGTCCTTCTCAAGGACTGAAGTGAACGCACTTATTGTTGTTGGTACAGATTATACATAGATTACGTTTGAAAAGTCAGCAAGTAAAGGAAAAACTGAGGATAATGGAAATTAAATTTCAAATTAAATTAAATTTACAGTTTATGTGTATAAACCCGTGGAATAAATAATATACAATAAAAAGCTATGCATACACCGCATATACTCATGTATAAGCCAAGTTTTCCAGCACATATTTAATGCATTTGTGGTAAAATTAAATGCTGCGGCTGATATTTGGGTCAGTTTATGTTCGAGTATATATGGTACATTGAAATAGCAATGCATAGTCAAATGGCTTTTTTTAGGCAAATGTTTTATAGTATCTATGCAAAATTAGAATTTTATAAATTCTTTTGCTTAGTGTACATAATTTAACCTCATTAAACTGTACTTAAATGAGAATGAATAGAACCTATGTATTTTGTAACATGTTTGTTTCATTTACTTATGTCATATGTACTTTCTCTTGACTCCAAATCACCACTCTTATTAATCGCATGGCGATATTATTAACCTCTCAAAATGTCTTAAGATAAATTCCTAGAATCGGTGCTACTAAAAATAAAGCAGGAATGATTTTCAGGTTTTTGAGATGTATTACGCAAATGTCCTTTAAAAAACTCAAAACTATGGTCACTCTTTTCAGCAGGGAACAAGAGAGCTGCTGCTTTAAAATATACTGACACCTTTAATTAACGAGCTAGCAAATGTGCCACACTGAATTTTTATTTGCGTCTCTTTGGTCAGCAGAGAAGCTGAACATGTTTTCATGGACACTGACAGTTTTTGCCAGACCCCCAAGGAACCATTAATCCAGTTACTGTCCCTATAGATTTACCTATTCTGGATTTCAGAGTTTTGCTCTTAGGAGCTGCCTCTTCACACTTTCTGTTCTTTATCCAACTACCTAAATGTTCTATTAATTGATTTTTATAGAATAGATATTACATAGTATTACATAAATGTTGTATTATATTTTGCTAATTTCCTTGCCTTTTAATGAGTTTTCAAACCCAACCTTCAAACTTTAATTTTCCAGAAGATGAGATGTTTTTGAAGATATTTGTACAAGTTTCCCCATTTCCTTGAGGCAGTGTTTTAATTAAAAATCAAAGAATTAGATCCCCCTCCAGGTTCCTTACCCATCAGACCAAATACTGGACTGAGTGGCTTTAAAAAAAAAAAAAAGAAAGAAAGAAAGAAGGAGGAAAAGTAAAACTGAAATGGATTTGGAGTGTCTAGTGACAAAGAAGTTCACTTCAAACATATATGACCAAAAAAAATTAAATTAGAAAAGCCAATTAACTTAGAACTGCCAATGTGGAGTCAAACTAAATCATTCTTTCCTACATTTGCAACCAAACTATAACCACAATTACACACAATGTATTATCATACTTACTAAACAAGCAAGCAATGAAACAAGAACTTACTTCCTTGAACTCTGCTTTTAAAACAGCATGACCCAAAGTAGTCTGCCACTGAAGTTTTCGACCACTGTGCTTTCCAAGATAAAATGTCTTAAATACTTCCTGAAGTTTAATCATCTGTGAAGCATAAAAATAAATTCCAACAAATTTAATTATGCTAATTGCCATTAATCTGGAGAACTACACATTCACTTTACAAAGCTTTTAGCATTTCTTTCCCACATCTGAACTAAATGACCAGTTCTTTATTTTGAGAGGTATTTTTTTTTGACTTCTATTATCTTTTAAAATGTCCACCATTCTAAGACATTGGGATTTTCCATCACACATGGAATAATGCTTAGATTTTTGTTAAACAGTGAAGACAGGCTGTGTTCTGCAGTATCCACAATCGCACACCTGGGCTCCCTATGGTCAATGGCATATATAATGAAGACCCTTAGCTAGCAAGATCAGAGATGATGTCCTTAAGTTATAGACCATGCCTGCAGGTCCAACAATAGCTTACTTACGCCATCTTCTGCTTTCACTTGAACATTTCATTTTTCATTCCAGTGAGGCCAGAATTTTTTATTATGCGTGGCTTCTCCATCTTTCACTGTTGCCCACAAATTGCCACTAAGTTTTTACTATTAATTTGTCTATGACACCCCAAATGTACCGTATATACTCGAGTATAAGCTGACCCGAATATCAGTGAGGGACCTAATTTTACCACAAAAACTGCATTAAAAATGTGCTGGAAAAACTCGGCTTATACACGAGTATATACGGGTAAGCCATTTTCTGTACCATTAAAAGAACAAGGCAATCAATGCATTTTAAAACCAGAGATGCCTGAGGTAAAAGAAAATGTCTTTTCAAGACTGGTAAATCTGTCCCTGCCCCTCTATCCTTTAGCGTAGGCCACCATCTTCTACTACAGAAGGACTCCCAATTGTACTGTTTTACCATTATACATGTTTTTTTTTGTTTTTTTTTCTCCCCATATCCACTTCACTTTTTAATCTACTCAATTTTTGGTTTCTATTGGTATCAAAACTGTCACTTCCAAGGTCACCAGTGCCTTCTGTGTTGCCAAATCCAATGGAGTCCCATCAATTTTCATTTGGCTAGATGAGTTAACTCAAGTTTTCAAACGGCTAACCCACTATTCCTTCCCTTCCTGCAACCCCAGCCCTCTATTCTTTTCTTGAGTCTTTTATCTTTTTCATCTTCCCATTGACTCCCTAGAAGTCAGTACTCTCTAGGGCAGTGGTTCTCAACCTCCCTAATGCTATGACCCGTTAATACAGTTCCTCATGTGGTGAATCCCCAACCATGAAATTATTTTCGTTGCTACTTCATAACTGTAATTTTGCTATGAATTGTAATGTAAAATGCCTGATATACAGATGTATTTTCATTGTTAAAATTGAATATAATTAAAGCATAATGATTAATCACAAAATATGTAATTATATATTGTGAATTATTTATTTCTAATTATAAATAAATGAAATTTTGTCTTGAAGCACAGTGTTGCCAAGGATTTCATTGTCAAGGAACCATAATCACCACTCATAAAAAGCACCAATCAAGTCTAATGTTGTATTGTAGTGGGCAAAACTGTGACATAAGACATCTTTAAGGGATTAAAAGTAAAGACAGTCACTTTGAGGACAAGGGTGCACCTGCCTGAAGTCATGACTATTTCAATCATCTCACATGCATGGGGAAGCTGGAAAATTAATAATGAAGACGACAGAAAATGATGCATTTGAATTACAGTGTTGGCAAAGGATACTGAATATACCATGGAGGGCCAGAAGCACAAACAAATTTATTTTGAAATAAGTACAGCTAGCTGAGTACTTCTTTTCTCAAAACATTTTCTCTCCATTTAAACCCCCGACATTAGGTCCTCATTTTTCTTAGAAGGCAGAGTGGTCTCATGTAATTGCGACATGTTCTAGGAAGGACCAGTCTCTGGAGAAGGGCATCATGCTTGGTCAGCGAAAGGGAGGACGACTCTCACTAAGGTGGACTGACACCATGTCTACAACAACAGACTCAAGCATAGGAAAGGTTGTGAGGATGATGCATGATCAGGTAGTGTATTGTTGTTGTACACAGGGTCACTGTGAGAAATACACCAACAACATCTAATAATAACATTAAGAGGCAAAAGGAGTCCTGGGGTGTAACGGTAAAACACTTACTTGGGCTGCTACCCTAAAGGTTGGAGTTGGAACCACCAGCTACCCCACTGGAGACCAACCTGGCAATCTGCTCCTATAAAGATTACAACCTAGGAAACCCTATGGAGTAAGTTTTTACTGTCCTATGGGGTCATCATGAGTTAGAATCGACAGTATTCAACAACAAAATCACTAAGAGGGGCAAATGATTATCATATGCCCATTCACATATCACAGAGAGAAGAATGCAACATCTCTTAGGTAGTATTCCAGTGGGTAAGCATTGGACTGCCAACCCCAAGGAGGGAGGTTCAAACTCACCAGCCACTCCACAGTAGAAAGATGAGGCTATCTGCTCCCACAGATTTATAGCCTAGGAAAGCTATGAGTTTCCTAGCTATGCGGGTGGTTGCGATGAATTGGAATGGACTCAATGGCAGCAGGTAGCTAGTATTCTGACTGGATATGTATAACCTGAATTGAATCATGAAGGTACTTCAAAACACACGAAGAAAACCAAGAGTCCATAAAAACTGCCATGTATCCTCACCATATGTCAATGTCATGCAAGAAAAAGGAAGGAGATGAAAGGAAACTAAAGAAATGACAACTAAACATAATATGTGAACCTGGACCGGATCTTCCTTCTATTAGAAAAAAACTACAAAGCACATTCGTGAGAGAATTGATAAAATACGGACCACATACTGGATCAAACTATTGTATTAATGTTAGGTTTCTGAATATGACAATTGCATTCTGGGTATGTTTTTAGGAAATACATGCTAAAGCAGTAAGAGTAAAGGGGCATGATGCAATCTGCTCTCAAAGAAAAACAGAGGCACTAAAGAACTGTGTTGACTTGGGAGCTGTCAAGTACACATAAAACACATGTGGATGAGGGGTTAGAAGTAGGAAAGGCTGAATCCTAACAGCTTTCTATGTATAGCTGAGAAGTTTAGGTGAGCAGAGAATAAGGGGGGAAAGAAGCAGATTTCTTTGGGGGGAAGTGGTTATAATAATAGTGCCATTTCCAACAGGGCAGAGATACAGGGAGAAAATTCTAATTTTGCAAGTCCGAGTCTGTTCAAGTTGACAACTGTACACACAAGCTTCAAGTTCAGGAGCTGGTGTGGGTGGCTGGCAGTGGGATGCAGTCACAGAAGATGAATACGTGGGATGAGAGAAGTGCTGAGGGGAGAATTCTGGAGAACTTTTAGTATTTCTAAGACGAGGAAAAAAAAACCTAACTGACCAGTGGGGGTCAGAAAAGGAGAAAGAACAAATATTTTTAACACAGAAGAGGGAGAGAGTCAATGTCAAGTCCCAGACAGGTTCTCTGTTCCCACAACTGCATGCCTTTCTTTGCTTTGCTCCATGCTCCTTAGCTAATACTTTGTGTCTATGAAAATATCACTCTTTGAAGCCAGTAAAAGTGTCACCTTTCTTAGTATCTTTTTTAAAAATCATTTTTTTGGGAGCTCTTATAAAATCCATACATCAATTGTGTCAAGCACATTTGTACATTTTGCCATCATCTCTTTAGAAACATTTTATTTCTACTTAAGCCCTTGGTATGAGCTCCTCTCTTTTTACCCTTCCTGCCCACCCTTGTGAACCCTTGATAAATTACAAATTACCATTTTCATATTTTATACTGTCCACTATCTCCCTTCACCCATATTTCTGTTGTTTATCCCCCTAGTGTGTGTGTGTGTGTGTGTGTCTTTTCCACGTTGATCATTGTGCTTGGTTCTTTTCTCCCTCTTCTTCCCCCATGTTCCCTCTACCCTCATGGTATCGCTACTCACATTACTGTTCCTGAGGGGTTTGTCTGTCCTGTATTCTGTGTGTTGAGAGCTCTTATCTCTACCGCTCCGGTGTAGCCAGATTTGTAAGGTAGAAATGGGGTCATGATAATGGGGGGCCAGTATTAAAGAACTAGAGCAATGTTGTGTTGTTTCGTCAGTGCTATACTGTACCCTGGCTGACCTGACCCTTCATTGTGGCCCTTCTGTGAGGGGACGTCTAATTGTCTACAGATGGGCTTTGGGTCTCTGTTCTGATCCCCTTGTTCGCATTGATATGTTTATTTGTTTTGGGTCTCTCCATTATCTTTTTATAAAGTTATTGGTGCCCATACCCGTTTCTCCTAGCCGAGCTTAGGATTCTTTCTTTCTATGATTCCCCCCTGGTATCCAGAGTCATGGCTGGCATATATGGGTCTAAACACTGCTAGTCATAGACCTTTATTTAGCATTGTCTATAACAGAAGGTAATCAATAACCAGATAAGACTCACAGCTCTGCAAAAAATTTTAAAATGACTGTGTTAATGATGTGTTGAGACTGATGACCTCATGAATAGTCAGCAAGTCAAGACATATAAGCCAAAAAGTTTCACAGAAAGATTGTTTCTGTGAATGTTCACTTTGAAAGTAACACTGCTTTCTAGACATTCATCACTCACTGCCATCAAGTCAGTACTGACTCCTACGCTCTATAGGGCAGGGTAGAACTGCACCTGTCAGTTTCCAAGACTGTCACTATGTACGGGAGTAGAAAACCCAATTTTTCTCCGAGGTAAGGCTAGGAATTTCAAACTTCAGACCTTGTAAATCTCAGGCAGACACCTAATTACTACACCATCAGGGCTCCAAGAAGACATTTATTCCACCAAGAGTATTTTCATTTTGAGAGTGTGAGAGAGAGTATGTTGTGAGAGAGTCTGTCTGTGCATGGCATAAACCTAACAATTGAAACAGTCAATATTCTTTGGTAGCACTTATACATTCAAAATAAATGACAGCATTTTCTTTAACATACTTACTTCTGGATTTAAATGTACTTCCATAGGTGTGTATGTTGGCCAGTATCCCATTGTGAGAATGTTTACTGTTAGATCTATAGATCCTGGGTCACTTTGATTCTGTATATACTAAAACAGATAAATCCATCAAAAGCAATTTATTAATAAAAATATGATGCAATCAAACCATTTTACTGTTTTTCTTTAGTCTTTAGAACACATTACACTGAAGATGTACACAGCCTGTATTAGAACTGAAATTCTGAGCACTAGGTTTGGAGAAAACTATGAGTGCCAGCCGGGGCCCTAAATCTATTTAGAGTCTTCATAGAGATTCAGCCTCCATTGCGTTCTTTCTGAGGGTTGACAGGTAATGTGAAAAATCTTTGTCCTCAGACAGAGTGTTTGCTGCAATTTCTCTGAGGGCCACTCTCTCTCAGGTACTTGCCTGAGTGAGACTGTGATGGAATTTGAGGGATTAGGGTTTTATGGCCCAACTAAGATGATCATGGGACCTTGGAACCAATCCTGTAAGCTTTTCTTATCTCTGATAGGGCATGTATCCCAGCCACAGTTCTTTTCCAAATTCTTTAGTCCTGCCTATGACTGTGATAAATTGATCTGCGACAAATCATGATTTTCAGTTTCCTTTGTTCTCCATATCCTAATTAAGTAGCCACAAGGCTGAGAATCCCTTTGTGGTAGTTATATAATCTGTTGTCAATTGGGGAGGATTAAGAGTGAAGGGGTGGAGTTCAGCTGATCAATCAGGTCACAGCATGATGACCTCATTTAGAGGTGCTAAGGAGGTAAATAGCTCGCTGGAGGCAGGACACCACAGACCCATTCCCTAGGAGCCATTGCGGCTGACAAGACACATGGAGCTGCACTAGTGTCCTGAGCTAGAGGAGCCATTTGGAGATCCCTGCCAGCACTGAGATGCTTACAACTCCACTGGATGCACATTATATGTGTTTCCTGAGTCTGAAGAGGACTTTATAGATTGTTATCAGATGTATGGGCTACTAATGGACTTATGGACTGGATCTGGACTGAGCTCAGATGTTTTCTTAATGTACAATTACTTTTATATAAAGCTTTCTTATACACACGCATGTCTATGAATTTGTTTCTCTAGTCTACCCAGACTAACACACCCTTAGACACCATTATGGCCTCAAACTGATGGTCTACCTTTATCTGGATGATTCATTTTCATCTTTGTCTTATCTCTGTCCTGTTTTAAGCTTAATAAAGGGGTCTCTATAAAATATATTTGAATGTGGGGTCTTTTACCCCAAACACAAGCCAAACGATATATTCTAAAATCAGTTTATACATATATAATACTATCTACATATAGTATAGATATGAAGTATAGTATGTCAATTTAAAACTAGGCTCACTGAAATAATTCACACATTTTAAGAAACTGTTTCACTTGAGAAACAAACCCAAACACACGTACCTGCTTAAAATGAACCATGATGTCTTTTGAAAGTTCCATATCCTTGAACATACCTTCCAATTTGCTGGTAAAAGCAGCACCACATTCTGTTATAAAAATAAAGTCCTCATTTAAAATATATCAGAAGCAACATGTATTATCTCAATAAATTCGCTTCAGATTATGGGAAAAAATTCTGGTCTACATATGCTTACCATGTTTTAATTTTGACAACATAGATTTTTCAGCATCCACGGAGGCACTTTTCCCAACAAGGAGTCTTTTTGCCAAATCCTTTTTGTAAAATGCTTCAAAGACATCTTTACCTATTTAAAGTCCAATAATAATAGCATAAGACTTTAGATAGTTGATGTGTAAATGTTACACTTCAATGGCTGAAAAATTCTAAAAAGCGTTCATTTAATGCCAACCAGCTTTAATGATAATGAAATTGCTGTTAAATTTTCACAAAAGATTATTTTCCATTCCATCAGTAGCTCTACTCTATTTTCTGTATTAACATGAAAATAGAAAACGTTTCTGTTAACTTATTCATGAAATGATGGATGCATATAGATATTACATTGCATTTTCTAAGCAACCGATTTTAGTAGAAAATTTATATTGCTTACCATGAATAAACCTGAATATTATCATAATTTTGTCAAGGATTCGTTCTAGTTCTTCATCTGTTGCTTCTTTATTACCCGCTCTTAGCTTGGAATCAACATGCTTTGCTGTAAAATTCAGAATTACAATTATTTTAAAAAATAAGCAGTAAAAAAAAGCATTAATTACATGATACATTTTATAAATTAGAAAAAAGAATAAGTACTTTCTAAAACTTCAACAATCCAAAGATTTATTTTATTTTTACCTATTCCAAGAAAGGTGACCCAACAGGATAGACAATTGTAGAACAATCTCACTGTTAATCACACAAAATTAAAATTTTGCTTAAGATCATTAACAGTATATATTGACAAAGAGCTGCTAGAAACGGAAGCCAGATTCAGAAGACCAGGAACAAGGGATATCTCATTAATGATGTCAGATGGATCTTGGCTAAAAGTTAAGTGTTTACTTGTGTTTTATGGACTATTCTAAGTAATTAAACGGTGTGGATCATAACAAACTATAGATAGCCTTGAGAAGAGTGGGAATTCCAGAACACTTCTTTTTGCTCATGAGGAACCTGTACGTGGATCAAGAGGCAGCTGTGCCAACAGGACAAGGAATACAGCATAGTTTAAAACCAAGAAAGGTATGCATCAGGGATGTAGTCTCTGTTGGTTTTACAACTTAATGTAAAGAAGACCTACATCAGCTCAACTAAACCAAAGGCAACATCATGATAAATGGAGGTAAGGTTGAAGTTGTCAAGGACTTCATCTTGCTTGGATTCACAATCAATGCTTATGGATGCAGTAGTCAAGGGATCAAACAATGCACTGCATTAGATGAATCTGCTGCACAGTGCTATTAAATTGTTGGAAAGCAAGGCTGTTACTTTGAGGACTAACGTGTACTTGAGGCAAGCCACAAAATTTTCTTTTTTTCCCTAAAGACCCTTTATCTTTTTTTTTTAAAGTCAATTTATTGGGAGCTCATACGACTCATCACAATCCATACATACATCAATTGTATAAAGTACATTTGTACATTTGTTACCCTCGTTATTTGTTTTTAAATAATTTTATTGAGGGCTCGTACAATTCTTATCACAGTCTTTATCTTTTAAAATACTTTTATTGGGGGCTCTTACATCTATTATCATAATCCATACATTCATCCAGTGTGTCAAGCACATTTGTCATCATCATTTTCACAGTATTCTCTTCCCACTGAGCCCAATATCAGCTCCCCATTTCTTCCCCCTTCTGCCCTCCCTCACGAACCCTTGATAAGTTATAGATTCTATTTTCCATGTTACATTGTCCCCCGTCGCCCCTCCCCTGCTTTCCTGTTATTCATCCCCCTGGGAAGGGGTTCTAGTTTGAGCCTTCTGATCAATTTCCCCTTTCCCCCCACTCCCTCCCCTAACCCTCCTGGGGAATCCTCAACTCTCCTTGTTGGCCCTGAGGGTTTTATCTATCCTGGATTCCGTGTTGTAGGCTCTTATCTGTAGCAGTATGAATGCTCTGGTCTAATCTGATTAGTAAGGGAGAACTGAGGTCACGATAGGAGGAAGAACCAAAGAACTAGAGCACAGTTGTGTTTCATCAGTGCTACACTGCCCCCTGACTAACACATCTCTTCCCCGTGACACCTCTGTGAGGGGATTTCCAATTGTCCACAGATAGGCACTGGGTAAGGTGACCAGACGTCCTGATTTTTGGAAAGAACGCACGACAAGCTAGGTTATACGGTTTTCAGTTGCCATGCGGCTATTTTGCCAGGATATGAGTTTTATCAATGGTGTCCCGCTTTACCAATGTTAAAATCTGCTCACCTTAGCCTTGGGTCTCCATGCTCCCCTCCCCACTACCCCATTCACCTTTGGGTATGGTCTCATTCTGGGTCTTAGATGCCTGATACCTGTTCCCATTGACACCTCATGATCACACAGGCTGGTGTGCCTCTTCCATGTGGGCTTTGTTGCTTCTCAGCTAGATGGCTGCTTGTTTATCTTCAAGCTTTTAAGATCGCAGATGCTGTATCTTTTGATAGGCGGACACTATCAGTTTTCTTAACCACATTTGCTTATGCAGCCATTTTGTCTTCAGCGAACATGTCCGGAAGGTGAGCATCACAGAAAGCCAGATTGTTAGAACAAAGGGCTCTTGTATTAAGGGAGTATTTGAGTTGAGGCCCAATGTCCATCTGCAACCTTAATTCTTTTTTTTCTTATTTAATTATTTTATTGGGGACTCGTACAACTCTTACCACAATCAATACATACATCTATTGTGTGAAGCACATTTGTACATTTGTTGCCATCATCATTCTCAAAACATTTGGTATCTACTTGAGCCCTTGGTATCTGTTCACACCCCCCCCCCTTCCTCCCTGTTATCCCTTCCCTCATGAACCCTTGATAATTTATAAATTATTACTTTGTCATATTTTACACTGTCCAACGGTTCCCTTCACCCACTTTTCTGTTGTCCATCCCCCAAGGGGTTATATGTAGATCCTTGTAATTGGTTCCCCCTTTCCACCCCACCATCTCTTCAACCTCCCGGTATCGCCACTCTCAGTACTGGTCCTGAAGGGATCATCTGTCCTGGATTCCCTGTGTTTCTAGTTCCTATCAGTATCAGTGTACATCCTCTGGACTAGCCAGATTTGTAAGGTAGAATGGGATTATGATAGTTTGCGGAGGGTTGGGGGTGGGGTGGGGGGAGGAAAAGGCCGGGGATGGAAGCATTTAGGAACTAGAGGAAAGTTGTATGTTTTATCGTTGCTACACCCACCCTGACTGGCTCATCTCCTCCCTGACACCCTTCTCTAAGGGGATGTCCAGTTGTCTACACATGGGTTTGGGTCCCTAATCAGCACCCCCCCTTATTCACAATGATTTGATTTTTTGTTCTTTGATGCCTGATCCCTTCGGCACCTCGTGATCACACAGGCTGCTGTGCATCTTCCATGTGGGCTTTTTGCTTCTCAGCTAGATGGCCATTTGTTTACCTTCAAGCCTTTAAGACCCCAGATGCTACACCTTTTGATAGCCGGGCACCATCATTTTTCTTCACCATATTTGCTTATGCTTGTCTTCAGCGAACAAGTGGGAAGGTGAGCATCACAGAATGCTGGATTGTTAGAAGTGTTCTGTGTTAAGGGAGTACTTGAGTTGAGGCCCAATGTCCATCTACAACCTTAATTCTTAACATACAGATTGAGTACATAGTTCTATTCCC